AAAAAAAAATTTTTTTTAAATCACTATAACATTTACTATTTTTCTTCATGGAGGTAGTTCACCCAGAAAATGAAGAATGTCATGAGCAAAGATAAACAATGTTAGATATGCCACCTTGTGGCTGAGAGTCGTCTACTACACTAATAGGCCCTTACAGTGAAAATCTTCAATACAGAAAAATAACATCTACTATATTCACAAATGTAAATCATGCTTTAAAATATAAATATTAAGTATTAATGTTAGGGTTAGGATTAGGGGGTTAGGATTAGGGAGTTAGGGTTAGGGGTTAGGGTTAGGGTAAGGGTTAGTGTTAGGGGTTAGGCTTAGGGTTAGGGTTAGGGTTTCAGTATTCCTTGAAGCTACCTGGAAATTCTTCATGGTGGTGCTAGCTTTCATAAAGTTAAACTTGTGCTAAATGGGTCACCTTCTAGGAATCTTTTTCGCAGAGATATTCAACGATGTTTTCTGACTGTGTATGGAAGGCCATTCCCGGGGGCTTTTCCCCTAGTTGCTGCGAAGCTGAACTCCTGCAAGCTATATGCAAGTTCTACACACTGCTGCTTTGTTTCACTGATTTAAGCTTGATTCTGAATGGGGAACCTTGTGTGATTCTCTTTCACAGACATTTTTCAAGGAATTTTCTTTGACCATATATCCAATTCTGCTTCTATATGCCTTTCCCCATACATGTTAGTTCTATCCCCGGAATATTTTCCTAATAAGTTTTATATTTGAAAGTCTTTTTTTCACCCTATCATTCTTTTCTTTGATAAAAAATAGACATGCAAATTTTAATTTTAATTTTGTGGCAAGGCTTAAGTATTTGAATTTTCCTTATAGATTGACTACTCATTAAAGTGCATAACAGTATTAGATCTAAAGAGCATAAATATGTTATGAATTTGGTAAATAATTATTATATACAAAAAGGTAAATTTCAGTTATTTACCTCTCTTGAAAAGATGCTCCATGCATTTGTTGTTTATGTTTTCCTTAATGAATATTAGTTATTCCTAGAAAGAGGCAAAGTTCAGCAGAAATTCTCTACTGTGTGTGTGTGTGTGTGTGTGTGTGTGTGTGTGTGTGTGTGTGATTATATAATGCTTATAATATATATAAAATACACTGTTTATATAATATATGCTAAGGAAATGTGTTCACATAAATAGGTTGTAATAGAAATGTGTTTTTAATATAGCAATGTTTTGATTTCTTAAAATCTTTCAGATTGAGATGTGAAAAATCACATAGCAATTACCATTGAAGAATTATTTGGGTGCTGTATTAGCAGATCATTTAGATCCTCCTTCAATTTTGATTTTCCCCTTGGAAAGCCTGAATGTCACCCCCAGGAGAGGACATATGCCAGTATGAAGACCATTTACCAAGGAGAGTTGCTCCAGTAGTTAAGATGAGAGATAAGAAAGAACATTAGGTCAGTGGTCCAAGGAGCAAGAAGGGGTGGACAACATTTTGAAGTAGATGGAAGATCAGGAACTCAAAGATGAGTACTACTAAATCACAGGCCACTGCTTATTAGATTTTTAAAAAATATCCCACTGTTAACAGTTATGTTTACTTCTGATTTTTATCACTAGATGTATATTAAATCATTATGATTGAAGGCTTGTGTGTAGAGTATCACTACTACTGAAAATTTAACCTAGTTTCAAGCTCTTTTAAAAATATATATATAGCTTTTAAATATAAAAAGAATCAGTATAGGTAAAAGCTACTCAATCATTCAGTATTTCATTCATTCCTACATTAATAAACATTCAAAACTCTTCTCTAGACCCACCACAAGTCACTGTGGAAACAAAGATTAAATACCTCTGTCTTCCAAACACACTACAGTGGGGGAGAGAGTGTGCAGACAGCAGCCACACAGTGTCTGTCGGCTGTAATGAGGCAGCTATGACGGTGTGAAAATGAAGACCACGGGACACACAGATGACTTCAGAAAGGAAAACACCTTTGAATGAAACCTGATGGACTGACAGTGGTCAGAGAAAACAACATTTCAGATGACAGAAACAGCCATACTGATGTGTGGAGGTGGAAAGTGGCATGACATGGGGTAGAACACATAGGTTTGTGTGTTTGAAGCTTCAACCTTAAGGTGAGGGGACACTATGTGGTGAGACAGAAGAGGGAACAGAGATCGTAGAAGGCCTGTACACCATGCCAGAGACTTTGACCTTGTAAGTGATGGGACATCTTAAAGGGCTTCACTTAAAGGAATAACGAGGGCAGATGTGCATGTTAGAACATTCACTCTGGTGGGCATCTGGAGGATGGATATGAGAGTGTGGTCAGGAAGCAGGGCCAGTGAGGAGATGTGTGGTGTTCAGGAGATGAGGACCTACCCCCAAGCAGCATCAATGGGATTCAGAAGTGAGGTCTGTTTGTGGATTTAATGTG